ATAATAATAATAATAATAATAATAATAATAATAATAATGATAATAATAATAATAATAATAATAATAATAATAATAATAGTTATGATAATAATAATAATAATGATAATACTCATTTACAACAAAATACTAATTATGGATGTTTTTAAGTCGATATAAATTATGCCACAATGAAATTTAAACACATATCTTAGTAATTTAAAAAAAAATACATCTTAAAATATTTTTTGTCATTTATTGTACTTACAAAAGAACTTTTTTATTATATTTATTCATACGGTTTTTAACCCCGATACCTAAGCTAGTTTTGATCAGTAATGAAGCACATATTTGGAAAATAATTGAATCAATCAGAAAAATTAAATTGATGGAAATTTGTCTAAAAGTAAATAATAAAATTAATGAAATTTAGCCTATAGCATGGCCGGACTGGAAATTATGCATAAACTGTCGATTTATCAAGTATAAATGCAAAAAAAAAACAGTTTTATACATGAAAAACAGATTTGAACATGGTTAACTATTTTGTCATGGTTAAATAATTGTTTTAATATTTCTTATTATGTTTAATGAAGTTTCTCCGAAATACGAGAATGTAATCAATATGTTTTTCCTATTTTTGTGAATTTTTTAAACGAATAAAATACAATATATATACCACACAAAATCAGAAATCAAATATAACAATTAATTTTAAGCAGTAATAATTCAAAAATTACAATTGTCAAAATTCAAACATCACCATTTTTCAATTGACAATTGACAATTTATAAAACATTGTAATTTAATTTTAAAAACTATTAAACATACAATTTTTTTAAATTCTTATAATTGAAAAATAGCCAGTTTTATAATGCCATCTACTTATATATTGAATGAATTAACAATGGATACGAAGAAGAGAAGGAAAAGTGTAGAAAATACTGCATTGCACCTAGTAACCTTCGAAATTCCCCAGTTCATCCAGTTTCTACATTTAAAAAGTTGTAAATCTCCAGGATTAGAAAAGGTACTTAAAGCACTGAATGGACGGAGGACCTCTAGTCTACCGTGAACATTGTATCATGTCCTCTATAGGAGTCAGGTGTGAAAAGCAAAAAAGTCCTTTTAAGGGACCATAAGCATTATTTCAAGCGACCCTCCATTCAAACAGGACAATGTTCGACTTACAAATCAAATCAAGTCAAATCATTTATTAGGTCACAAATATTACAGTGTACATACGTAAAAATGCTAATTAAAATAACAACAATCAATTTTAAATATACTGTGGCCAGGGAGCTACAAGATAGCTCAGGCTGTTTACACATGAGCTCCCCTGGTTTAGCATAATAACAATAAGATTTAAACATTTTTCTTTGTGCATGAATGGAGCACATAAATGGCGAAGTGTAGCTAATGGTACCCTTAAACCTTTAAACTTATTGAACCCCGAGTACAGAGATATGTATCACTCATAGAATCTAGGCACCAAAATGTTAAACCCCATTCGTGTGTCAGTGTCCCCCTACTGTACGGAGCTAAATAATTATATAAGTTAACAGTCTAAATCTCTTTACAGTTAATTGCGTAAGTTTAGTAAAAAACGACCTGATCGTCACTAATGGGTTATCTTACCTGGGAAAGTGATTAACCCTTTGATGCGGGAGAAGGGATTTAAAGGATTGAGGTTTAGGATGGGATCCAGTCCACATCAGGTTAAAATCCTGGTTCAAAGTANAAAATCTTGCATGTCAAGTAGATCACATTTTCGACCCCCTGCTAAATTCGCTTGACACACTTTTATGTAGAAGTAACATCACATATTTTATTTTTGTTGGGGTTGGGGCATGAATCCTGGTTCAAACTTCCAACCTGAATATATTTAAAGGATTGAGGTTTAGGATGGGATCCAGTCCACATCAGGTTAAAATCCTGGTTCAAACCTGAATATAATCACATTAAACTAAAGTGTATTTGATTTCAGTTATTCCATTTGGTCAAAAGCTTTTGATGAGAATGTAGAATTAGCTTATAGCTGTATCCATCTTACTCTACATAAATCAGGCAAGGGCTTCCGAGCCCGTACATGTGTATTTCAATGTCGAATTCTTATTGGCTGGGCTTAGACTATAGATCGACCTTTAGGGTTATACACACTTGCAACAGTTAGAAAGTGACAACATATTTTAAAATTGTTTTAAGAAACAACATTTTTTTATTCAATTCAGGAAATTTAAAAATATCTTTGCACGAACTCAATAATTCACAGAACTTTAAAATTTGCACATCAATGTAGATATTTTCTATTTTTTGCGTTGCGTTGTACGCATTGTTTTTTACTAAATAGCCAACTATTTCAATAGAAATTCCTAATTTCATTAAATGTCATTTATGATTATATGTTTTTTTTTTCTTAAAATCATGCTTATTAGATTGGGTTTCTTTTTCCCAATCGGTAACCCTGATATCGTGACTCCGCCTTTAACAAAACCTGTGACTTTACGTCACCCCCCCCCCTGCACCCTCTCTTCAAAAAGGTCTAAAAAAAACACAGAATTGATAAAAAACTGAATTTAAAATAAAAAATAAACATCCCACAGATTAAAGCTGGGTATGAATTACTTTTAAAGCCAAAATCCCGACTTATCATTAGCACGAATTCCGGTCCTACGGAGTTCCTCAATCAAAATATGAGACAAATCAGTTAAGGGTTTCCTGAGTTATGATCGGACAAACAAACAAACAGAGATTACTACTTTATACATGTTTTCCCTCTAACTATAAGAAGTCCGGAAGTTTGAATGTTTTATTTTATATTTGTATTATTTCCTTGAGTTAATCAGTAAATCAGAAAATCAGGCAACAATCAAATTAAATTTCACAAAGCCTGCAGTAAATTAAGTATCCGCACAATGATTCTTGATTCCCCAAGACCCTTTCTCACCAGCTTTGCCAGAAACTTTCTTTATCAAGGTCAACCCATTAAACTTAAGCTTTTAAGTTAGCTAAGAACATTTCCGTGGTCCTATTGAGTTCCCCAATCAAAATATTTATATAAATAAATCAAGAGAGTAAATTTTGTATTTGTATCTTCTAATATGATTAATTTCAAGATTTAACAAAGAATACAAGTTTAAAGAGAACTAAAAATTGGCAGATATCGTTTGTTGTCTCATAATTTTAATTATTTTGAAATGTTTAAAAACGAAGGAACTGATTTCTTGCAACAAACTCTGATTTTATTATCCCTATAATATCTTGAAACCCTATATTGAGACCTTAGATATTTCAAACTATGAATTCTGTTAGATCAAAAGTTTAAGTTTAAAATATCCAAGATACGACACCACAGGTTGCAAAGATTTATGAGATTCTAAAATTTAAGTCTGTAGTAAGAAGTTTTTTGATTGAATTTTGTCTAACCTCATGGAATCCGTGTGCATGAAATATTTGGCTAACTATCTTGGCATCAGCTTGAACAACCTGAACAACACATTTTAAATTTTAATGGGATTGTTCACGAAAAATAAAAGTGATGTACTCTGAAAACTCTGGTTCATTTGTACCAGGCAACTTTTAGGAAGCTGGACCTAGAGATGGGCATAGTTTTTGTGAACTAACGAAATTTTTGAGAACAGACGAATTTTTACTGAACGATGAACGAAAAAAACAACAAAAACGAACATTTAAAACTGTTCGAAAATTCTTGAAAAACCAATCATTTTTTTACTGAACAAACGAATTTTCTTAAGATTTAAAAAACCTCTCTGTTTTTACAAAAAGAACGATTTTACAGAACAAACGATTTTACCGAACGAGTAGAGTACATTACTGAAAAATCATTCAGTGAGAAAACCAACGAAACGGCTAGAAAATGAACGATAATTTTGTGAACGAACGAAATAAATTGTTTTAGCTAATGAAAAAAACGATCGATGAACGATGAACGAAAGAAATGAAAAAAAACCGAAAACGCCCATCTCTAGCAAGAGCAAGTTTTAAAGTAGCGAAAGATCAAGGTTTTTTAAAATCCCTAATTCAATCTTAAAATGGAATAACTCATAGACTCTAAGTGTAATTGCAAGTGACCCTATGTTCAAAGATTGCATTGTACGATACACAACGGTACCCTTGAAACATTAATTTGATCAAAAATGTGAAAGATACCATCGTTTTTCTGTCTCGAAAAGTGTTCATCTCTGTTAAGTTTCTCTATTGCTTCTTATAAACAAGAAATGCGCAATTCGTTTCACGTAGAAACCGCAAATGAAAATAAACAGTTTAAAGAAACAAAAACATTTAAAGCCAATTCATACTTGATTAGACAAAGCTTTCAATGATACTGTTGTCAATTGGGCATTGCTATTTTTGAAATTAAGCGTACAGTCCCTTTAATCCTAGACCAGCTACATGCGCAATTTCCAGTCTTTTTTTGTAATATATCCGATCGAATTTGTATAAAAATGTTTTTTGAATCAAGTATTTAAGAGGTAGTTACATGGTAAGTTTAAAATGTATTTTTATGCTTGAAATTCAGCCGGGACAAAAAAGTTGTCATCTGAGACAATAAAGTGGTACGGTCAACCGGGACCATAAAGTGGTTAGCTGGGACCATTATTGGGACGGAAAATAATGTGATCTCTTCGGGATATAAAATTCTTTTATTTACCTTAAATGTTAAATGATATCTAGCACCAACTGGCGTTATTGAACTTGAACTATGACTAATGGCAGTTGTGTTGAAGACGACAATTGGATATCTCTTATTCTCCATAGAGCTCGCCCAAATTACATCCTCCAACTTTAAAAGAAAATTTACAAGTGAGAACCAGAAAACTTTGGAATATGAAGATGACATTAAAGCAATACTTAAGTGTTTTTTATTTGTTATAAAGCAAATAGTTTCAATAGTCATTTGTTAAATTACTTATTGTTTCATGTTTATTGGAATATATACAGTTAAACTTTGTCTAAAAGGCGTCTTCTTATTAATAAATCATTAAAGACTCACAAGGGACGTACTATAGTGTGACATACATGCTTAAATAAAAGAATACCTTATCATTCTCCCAGGATCCTCCATAAGATATTCTACTACTAGATCCTTCATCCTCAGCCTGAAATAAAATTAAAATATATTTAATAAATATTTAAGGAACTGCAGACGCAATGAAAAATAATCAAGTGTCCGATTTACAACGCCTGCTACTCCTGCTACCCTTTGAACCTTTTCTATTCCTACCATTGTGAATTGGACATGACAGTATATAATTAGAGGGTCACTTTGAACTTAATCTAAAGTACAGTACCAATAAAAACATTTGTTATTTTATAAAGTACGAAGAAAAATGGAGTCAGGAAAACACTGTCTTTAACTTTCTTAATGTAATTAAATTCAAATTAATCTGTGCAATTCAAGTTTTGATTAGTTCTAAAGGATTGTAAACAAGAATAATAGAATAACAAGAATTTTTAAAGAGCTTCAAATTACTTTAATACTTCTAACAACAGGTGTTCCAAAAACATGTAAACTAAACACTCTGGAATCTCCCAAAATACAATTGGTGTACTGTCCTTTTTGCCAAGCATATATGTGTACTTTACAGCTTTCTCTAACTGCTTAAAAGTAGGCCCGGTACTAAAGATGCACCGGAGTTTACAGTGTAAAGGGATTGTAAACGTAATTTCAAATGACGCTCTATGTCCGATTTACAACGGTACACTTTTAAGCTTTTCTGTAAAATAAAAATATTTTCTCTTGAAATCATGTTTTTTCCTAATGGAGAGTATGAATTTGTATAGTTGTAGATTTAATAATTGCAGACCACATCTTGGAAATTCAAAGACAATGAATTAAGAATGTTTTAACTTCCAATAAAACTCTTAAACGCTTAAAGGGACTGTAAGCGTAATTTTAAGCGACCCTCCATGCGAAGATGACAATGTCCGATCTACAACGGCATGCCCTAAAAAGCTTTGTCTGATCGAGTATGAATTAGATATTTATGTTTTTGTTTCTTTAAACTGTTTATTTTCGTTTGCGGTTTCTTAGCGAAAAAGACCTACGCATTTCTTGCTTATTAAAGAGAGTGGCTAAGTATGTTTTAAACGTCGAATTTGCGCTCAAACTCAGGATTTACAGATCTTTAAAAAGTTTAATATGTCTCAAATGAATCCGAAAGAAGTTTTCCACAACACTGCATACTCAGTTCAACTACCTTATTTAGCCGGTCACTCCCTTTAAAGGCAATGGAGAAACTCAAGAAATTACCACTTTTTATATTACCAAAAACAATGGTAACTTTCAAATTTGTGATATGACTATAGTTTCAAGGGTACCATTGTCATCTTTGTCTGGAGGTTCACTTAAACATTACACTTACAGCCCCTTTATACAGAAGGAATTATATGAAATCTAAAAAGATAAAATTGTAAATACAAGTTTCAGAATAAAATGCCCAAGATTCAATGTTTATTGTGGTACATTACCTGCACATGACATAATACAATTTAGTCATTTTTGTAATGATATTTTTTAGCATAACCCAATTAAACACCTTAAGGAACGAATAAACTAATAATATACGAGAAAACTAATATTTTCTATAGATATGGCAAACGAAAGCATAATCGTTTCTTTAAATGTAAAAAAAGCTTAAAATCTTGCATGTCAAGCCGATCACATTTTCGACCCCCTGCTAAATTCGCTTGACACACTTTTATGTGGAAGTAACATCACATATTTTATTTTTGTTGGGGTTGGGGCATGCTAGGGGGAAATTTTCTTTAATTGTTTTAATTAATTGTTTCATTATTAATCATAATTATATATTTTACAAGAAAAAAAGTCTACCCCAGTAATTCATTCAGATTGTGTATTTGTAAAAAATTGAATTAAAAGTTTGAATTAAAAGTTTTGTAAAAAGTTAAAAGTTTGTATCTGAATCTGAAAAACATTATTACTGCCGTCATGAATCCTTAATGCGATGAAGTGTGTTTTTTAATTCTCTTAATAACCAAAGGAAAAGTGTTTTTTCTTTAAAAATTCGCGGATTTGTTAAAAATTATTATTACCTCATCCTCCCCTTCCTCATTCCCCTTTCCTTCCTTCTCCTCCCTCTTCTCTCTGGTGTACTCCCCCCTGTCAATCTTCTCCAGAACCTCCTTAGTCTTCTTGTTCTCGTCATTGATGCGTTTAATCAGAGCTTCAATTTGTGAAATATTTCTGGTGACTTTAACGCTAGTTAAAGGAGTTGAAGTCTCTGCGTCGGAACATGGAGAACCCGGACTTCCGTCACTAGTTTTATTCATTAATTTATTTAATATTTTTAATTTATTCCTGCTTTGCCTATATTTCCCCATAGTAATTATTCATCCTTTGTAAGTGACCCTCTAAGCCCATTGCAGATATGTTCGTTTTTCTAACTTAAAAAATGTGTTCAATTCTGACAGTTTTCTCAAATATGTCTGTATTTGAAATCTTCAACGAGAAAGGTATATACAGGGTGTCCCAATAAACATGGGAATTCAGTGACGAATTCGATATCGTCTTTTTAGATAAATCTTTGATTTAATATAGTGATACCTACTAGGAGAAAGCGTAATCTGTAAGATTTTCGTCTGCTATGTTTACAATTTGTTTGTTTATGTGTTGACTGCATACGGTTGTACTTTGTAAAACAAGAAAACTTGCATTATACAAACAGAGTAAGCTTGCCCGTCTTCACTGTTCATCTTGTAGAGATATTATAGAAACATCTTTACAGTCTTTTACCCTTTTCATAAAATAAACTCTAGCAGACATAATAATATTATGGTTTTTGAAATTAGGTATAGCAATGCTAATTCATAACAAAGACGATATCCAATTCGTCACTAAATTCCCATGTTTTTTGGGACACCCTGTATATCATATCTATTCTTCATCGGTCAAAGCTTGTTAAGGTACATGGCTATATATAGCTATAGCTTGTAAAATCTTGTCACCTTGGGTTTTTACTAAACTGTTGCCATTAAAGTAAAGCAAAAGCTGTAAAAGTGTTGAAGCGGAAAATAACAAAATAAGTATTTTGTAATTGTAAATGTACCGTCAGGTATCACGATTAACTTGAAATTTGTTTGACCTTGTCTGTTTTTTTATTTTTATTATTTCTGCATTTTTTATTATTTTTTTCATTTTCAAAGCATGTTAAAAAGTGTGCTTATTGGCGAGTCACTACTATATCAACCTGACCCTTTTCTGACCGATTTGCCTCAAATTGGGGAGCTTGGAAGAATGCAGGGAAATGTTTTTAGATTGGTTTAAAAATTCTAAGTTGAAATTGGGTTGACTTTTCTTAGGAAAATTTAGTTTCCAGGCAAAGCTTGGCTCCAGCGCTCACTTAATTTTTATTTAAGCATTTGGGCTGAATTTTTCTTAATTCTATATTTATGTATAAACTAGATATACTGTCCGGCGTTCCTTATGGAGTTTTAAAAACATTTTGGAAAAAATTCGAATTTTAGCCTATGTCACCACCAGGGTAACCAATTTGGCCCAGCCGCTTGGCTAGCTATATTGAACATAAAATATTTAGATATCTATTTAAATATATATAAAGTTGAAATCTCTGTTTGTTTGTTTGTATGTGCGATCATAACTTAGGAACCCATGACGGATTTGTGTTGGTTGAATATTAGAGAAAGTTTAATTTCTAGACAAAGCTGGGCTCCCAAGCTAGTTTTTAGAAGATTTAGATCTGTCTGTTTGTTTTTTTGTCTATTTGAACATTACTTAGGAACATTTTTTTACCGATTTACCTCAAATTTTGAATAAAACACTCGATAGAACAACAGGAATATTCTCAATTTTGTTTAAAAATTCGAAATTAAGTAAGTTGAAATATAAAGCGAAAGTTTTGTTTTCTGGCAAAGCTGGGTTCTCAAGTTAGTATATTAAAGAAACCTGGGGTAGGAAACCTGGAGTAGGAAACCTGGAGTAGGAAACCTGGAGTAGGAAACCTGGAGTAGGAAACCTGGAGATGGAAACCTTGAGTAGGAAACCTGCAGTAGGAAACCTGGAGTTGAAAACCTGGAGTGGGAAACCTGGAGTAGGAATCGTGGAGAAGGAAACCTGGGGAATGAAACCTGGCGTTGGAAATATGAAGTATAGAAAACCTGGAGTAGGAAATCTGGAGTAGGAAACCTGGAGTAGGAAACGTGAAGTAGGAAACTTGGAGTAGGAAATCTGGAGTAGGAAACCTGGAGAAGAAAACCTGGGAAAAAACAATATGAAATAAAAATGCAACTGAACCCAAGTAGTAGAAAATAATGAGTAGTTTTTTTGAATTTTTTTGACTATACCCTGGGCTCCCTCAAAAAAAATTCAGCCCATTGGGTCCAACCGTTTGGTCTCGAATAGGAAATATATATACTATTGTCTTGTTTCATTATATAGAACTAGCTGAAGGGCCAGGCGTAGCCCGGGGAGAAAAAAATTGAAAAAAAACACAAAAATTTTTGAATAAAATATGTCTTCAAAAAAAATTTTGAAAAAAAAAATTATTTTATCTAGCCTCAGGCTACCCATGAGTGTCCACAAAAAAAACTCAGTCCATTCGTTTCAGCCCTTTGGCCGGCTATATGGAACATATATACGTATAGGGTTTCCATTCGCAAAACTTTTGCGCAAATTTTGAAAAACAAAGGGCAAAATTTTGCTTTAGTTGCGCAACATTTTACGCGAAAAAAATAGCACTTTGCGTAAGCATTCGCAACTTCATTTTGCGCAAAATTTCGCTATTCCGCTTTTGCGTTATTCTGTTTTGCGCAATTTTGCAGAGCAAATCGGTGAAAGGTGTAAACTGTATAAATTAGCTTTCTATAAGTTTCACTTTTTTGCATATAGTAATGCTTGCTTAAAAAGGAACGGATTACTTGTCTAAAACTCTATTTTGCAAGTGCAACCTAATGCATAATTGCACACTGCAATTCAAGATTCACACAAAAGGCAAGCAGTATTTTGCCAATTACTCATTTTAAACGTAGGAATAAAAAAAACGCGCAGTATTTTTAAAATGTATGTCAAGGCATACAAAAAACCAGTGAGTTGGTGAGGTAAATACAAAGACCAAGGAGGTGCGACACTTCAAAATCGAGACTGTATCCCAAATTTGATGACTAAGTTTTAGTGTTGTCTTTATCTCAGTGGGTATACACCTTTGATATTTCAATCATATGCATTCGACTAGTAGTCAACATTTGAAATATCAAAGTTCAACGCCACACAAAGGTTCAGACATCTTTTAATTTCAACTTTCAAAGTTCTAATTTCTGTTTTATTAATTTTTGTCCCTCAAGGAGAAGACTTTGTGACAAAAAGTAACTAATTGAGAGCAGCAATCATAATTTATTTGTATGTAAATTTTTGGATAAACCTTCAGTTGTTTGATTCTGTGCTGAAAATGTCAATTTTGGTTAATATGCAAAAACATGTTTTGCGTAAAAATTTACGTTTTGTGCCATACTTCCGGTTTTGCGCAAATTGCGGGAAAAGATTTACGCAAAAGATGCAACTAAAGTTCACTGAAAAAAATATTTGTGCAAAAATTACGCAAATTTTGCGCAAAAACCCTATATACGAATGTCTCGTTTTATTGTATAGAAGATAGAATATACTTTCTTCTGAGGTATAAATCATAATCATATATTATCATACTGTGAATGCTGAAATAACTTTCCAAAAAACCGTGAAAATTACTAGATCTTAGTATATAAGTTAATGACAGGTTCAAGAAAATACAGTAGAAAATACTAAAACTCCAGATTTAATGGACTTGGAGACATGTATAAGGGTTTCCAATGTAATGTAATGTATAAGGGTTTCTAATTTTTTTCCGGATCAATGTGGACCCGTAAATGTCTTACAGAGCCTTTTCTGAAACTGTTAACCCTATCACAGGGGGGTCCCCCTGTGTTTTTTTTCTAAATAACTTCTGAAAGACTTACATTAGAACGCTACAGGGTTAACATTTATATATTTGAAAAGCCCTTGAAAAATTGATGTTTTTAACATATTTCACCTGCTAATATTTGTAAAAAACTCAGTTCCTTTGAATCCAAAAATTATCGATTTTTATAAAATTTTGAAAATCCACGAAAACAATATTATTTAATCCACGAACCATTTTTTGTTTTTGTTTTATATTGTACAAAGAGAAGATGCTCACATATAGAGCCACAATTAAAAGTTGAAATAGAAGAATAAGAAAAGGGCTGATATTTGTCCAATTTTAGAAAGACAAATTGACATGTTGTAAGTTTGTAACTGATTTGAGTCACTTTAAATTTAGTTGACAGCTCGTTTTGAATCAAATGAATGAAATAAACTTCCCTGATTCCACTATCTATTGTGTCTTTCCTTTCCTCCTTCACCCCTCCTCCTCCTTCTCCTCTTCCTTTCCAGTCCACTGAGCTGTCAAACCTATTAACTGGAGTTTTGATCTCAGTGGACATCTTGTCACACTTGCCAGAGGGCGCATTGAAACCGGTATTTAATGAGGCTCGGAGTCCATTTACTCCGGTATCGGACATGCCCGCCATCCCACCCTCTGCTTCCGAATCTGATATGTCAGAATCAACGCATCCCCGTATTTCTTCAGGTCCTGGCTTAAACTGAGGTCGGGTTGGGTCGGATGTGTCAGAAACCTTTCGGTTTATTCTGGATGAGCAGTTGGTTTGTTTTCGGTCTTCTGCGCAGGTACCGTGTAAATCTTCTGCAGTGGCCTCTGCAGTTGGAGACCAACTGCACTCCTCTTTAATATGCATTTTGTTAACTTGCAGATTTTTTATAAAACTAAGCTTTCCCTCTACAGAAGAAGAATTGGGCATTCCATTTCTCAATTCTCCATCTAAATAATTTTAAATATGTCAAACTCAATCATGGAAGAACTTACATATAAGCTAAAACAAACAAAAAAACTAAACGCCAAAGACAATTTCAATCATTATACAGTGTTGAATAGTAAATATTAAAGGATTGTCGTCTTCGAAATTTCTTTAATTATCAATTTTCACAAAAGATTTTTTATTTTCAATTGTATTAAAATATGATACATATCTTAAAATGGGATAGCCAAGACTTTTTAATGAGGTAAAATATAAACAAAATAGAAAATATAAACATACTGTCCTTCTATAATTAAGAATCATTGTGGCATTGAGAAATCAAAAGATTAATATTATTTTGTTCTTACAACATAGATTTAACTTGTAATGCGAGAAATTAATTGTTTAAAATGCGGGAAATTAAATCAGACAATAAGTTCAAATAATTTCAGGTCATCACTGTACTCCCATTTCAAATTCAGATTATACCTTCTTTTATCTCTCCACCGTTTTTCTTTGACTGGTCCTCAGATGATATCTAAATGCGGGGAAACAAGATTAAAAACTTTGACTTTTAAATTTTAATCTATTTACCCATAGATTTTTTACATCTAACGAAATCACAAAGATATTCTACATTCATATTTCAATGATGTCGTTTAATTTTTGTTTAGAAAATTTTTAATATTTTGTTGTACAAAAAAGACGACATTAATGTCAAATCATTGTATGAAGTATTCATTATTTCAGTGAAAATAATAGTAAGTTTAATCAACATTTAAGTGGTTCATTTTCGTATTTAATTCTTCTAGTAAACAGACTTTCCAGGCATGAAAAATTTCAATTGTTTCTAAAATATTATTTTGCTCAGATCTGACCAAGGTAATAAGGCAAGGAAAGTTAATTGCTGTTGCGTTTTCTCTGCGTACATATTGAAACCAGAGGCCGAATTTAAAAAATTTGAGCCGCGGCTTAACTTTAAACCGTGGCTTAAATTTGATTGGTTCTACTTAAAATTGTATTCAGTTTTTCAAGATTTAAGCCGGCGCTCCATAAACCGGTTTCTAAGAGATTTGAGACGCGGCTTAAATTCATTAAATTCGGACACAGTTCTCTTTTGGCGGTGTTTGTAAACAAGAATAGATGCATCAGTGTTTTTCTAGCAAAGTTAAAATGATTAGAATGTATACATGATACAATTTTTATGAATTTAACAGTACAGTACTTTATACCTTTGTTTGTGAAGTGCCCGTTTTAAAAGCTAAACCTAGTTTTTCTCTGAACACCTTCTTAGCTATGGAAGCACAATCAAGACTTGTTCTAACTTCTGTAGGAGTTTCGGGTTTAGGTTTCTCTTCGATTTTTCTAGTTAGGAAAGATCCAATGGAAGACGACGTTTTAAGCTGAGGTTGTTGGAACAAAATTGGTTCTTTTATCCTCTCCGGTTCACGGTCTACAAAAGATAATTGTCTTGTTTACAAGGGGATTAAAAATGAGCTTTGATCACGAAACAGATTTTTTTTAGGGTTTATGTTGTAGATAAAAAAGTTAAATGTAATTAACAGTCCATGCAAGAATATATTTTTATGTTATGTTAATTAAGTTAAAAATATATTTCCCCAAAAATTCATAAAATTCTTGGAATATTTCTTTTTAATCTATGCAATGAATCAAAAAAAATTGAAAAATTTATTTTTGAAAAATGCTTTGAGAAGTTTGACAAGAAAAAAGTGCATGTGAAATTGCCATGCGGAAACCGGTTTTTGTGACTTAAATGAAGTCGAAAAATTACAAAAAATTAAAAATATGACCAGAGCTGGGAACTTTTAAATGGTGGATATCGGGATTTATGCCTAATCGACTCTTTTTCTTAATCTCAAGATTAAATTACTCTTTGTTCTCCTCTTGTTATTAATCTCCAGATTAATTAAGCGGTCGGGATAACGGATATCTCAGTCTAAAGTGTTTAGCTCAAGTTTCTAAAAAATCTATGTTCTTCGGTCCTAGATTTAACAATTTTCAAAATATCGAAAAGAATAGACAGAATTTAACGGTTTTATATTTGACTCTATATAGTCATATCAACATATTTTTTTCACCTTTAAAGTATTTTTTGCATGGCAATGTTAATTTTACAACAACAAAAAACAATATTTTTTTATTTTTGATTCTAGATTTTTCTTTTATTTGAAAATTTTTTCTTACCTGTTAATTTGAAACTTGATTGCTTCTCTTTCACATTTCCAAGATTTTCACAGCTTGAGTATTTTAAAGAGTGAACACTAGGACTCGGAGAGAGGTTTAGTGGATTACTAACATGGGGTGGACTCGTGGATTTTCCAGGATTTGTCGTGTTTGGCGGATTTTTTGTTTCAGTCTCCAGCGCCAGTTGAGAAGAAGATTTTCGTCGTGAGAATTTTAGATAGGATTCTCGTTCAATTGCAGGAGGTCGCTTTGGCCTAGACATATGTATCAATAATTTAATACGGCATTATTTACGGCATTCATTTGTCAACCTACAATTATAAGTACAGTGATAACCGGATAACTCTGAAATAGGAAAGCGACTTTTAAACTCAAGTTAAGACTTAAACTCAATGATCATTATACATAGTAATTGTATAGTGTAAATAGACCCCTTTGCTGAGTTACTAGTAAAAATATTTCCTTTGTAACAACATCAAAACGCTTAAGTATTGCTATAATGTCGTCCTTCTATTCCATTGTTTTCTGGTTATCACTGTTTGATACTTGAAAGAAAAAATTTAGTCCTAGTCCTGCGGTTTCCAAAATATAGTCACCAGAAAAATAAAAAATGTCATCCTAGTTTTAAGTTAAAACGGTCCTATTCTGAACATCACAGTCCTCCATATTTCCGGTAGTTTTGAAAGAACACAAACGGCAAACCACATTTTAAAAATAGCATGCAAAACCTGGATCATTTAGTGATTAGTGTTTCATGAATGATATTTTCAAAATTAGGTTGAAAAATAAATGCCGCAATAGTTTGCAACATAAAAGACGACTTTTAATTCTTCCATTGCAGCAAAATCCCTCAGTTTGTGAATATTTAATATATATTCAATGTTATATTTTCTAATTTTGAAGTTTAAACAGAGATTGGACAAAAAAGGAAGCATTAATTTCAAGTTGAAAACTTTATCTTTAGGTTTACCCACAAAGAATGAGACTTCAGAGACACCTGTATCGCATTCATTCATTTTTTTCTTTTCATCAGCTTTAAACTGGTTTCTTTCTTTAGAAAATCATTTAATAAATCCTTAGAAGACTTTACTTAGGGCAAAAGCCAAAGTTAAACTCTTAGATTTTTTCGGGTAAATAATCAAAAACTAAAGACGACCTATAATTTTTATCTGTTGATATAAATAGCTATTGAAATACCAGAGAATTTGGCTGAGAATGCTATTTCCATATTTATCCATATTAATCTACGGAAAAAAAATAGTTTTCCAATAATCGTCAAAACAACTGAACCGATATTGGTAAAATATTTTTTGTGGGACCTAAAATTATGAAAGGTTTATGGATATATTTTCATGATGAAAACTTGTTGCCAATAAAATTTTTAGAAAATTTTAAAATCCACCAATACGAAAACAAAATAATTTTGAATTTCCATAGGTCAATAGTTCACAGGGGGCTATTGGGACTCATCTGCATGGATCATTTAAATCTGTGGTTTTCAGGGGGTGCCCGAAAACGGTTACAAAGACGATTCTTGAATTTGAAAATGGACAAAATATGTTGTTTCCATTGGGCTTCTATATTTAATACTCTTCAATAATAATGTTTAAGGGAGCTACTGCTGAGTTTGAGCGCAAAGTCGACGTTCAAAATTATCCATTTGGGTGGTTACTGTCGAATTTTTTTATACATTTTTCGTCGTCGTTATTTAATAATTAAAAACAAATCGATTCTCAAAACGTAACAACCCAAATAGATGATTTTGAACGTCGAATTTCCGCTCAAACTCAATAATTATACTTTATTAAAACGTTTTATATGTTTCAAATGAATCCTAAAAAAANTTTTTAAGAGGGGGAAGAAGGCGCTAGTTTGAAGGTTTGAAGTAGACAAAACAGAATTTTTTTAATTGTTCCGGAATGTATACTGATTTCTTTTTATATTGTAGCTTGTTTATGTGTTTTAAAAATTATACTATCAACAGTTGTATAATGAACTTGGTCAATTCGTTAAATGTGTGCTCGAAGCGCAATATTTTTTTTTCTGAAGAGGGGCGAATTCAGGCTTGCCCTTCCCACTGATCCCTCCATCCCATGTCGACTAACCTGGACAAGATAAGTTTGGTTTCTTCATTCGTTTGTATTCAGTATTAAAATGGAGTTGTCTTTGAATACTTTTCAATCTTAAACGCATTTGACGACAATTAAGTAAAAGCGAAAAAATTGAGTTTAAAAGGTCAAATTATGATCAAAGACGCGACAAGGACCAAATGCTTAAATCAGAGTGCTTCCATTAAACTTTAATGATTGTTTTCAATTGTGGTCCTCTATATTTTGTGAATTAAAGAGGGAAGTTTAAAAATTCAACATTTTAAGGAAGAAAAACGACGATATCTTCCTCATTGTTGATCAGATAAAGTTTTTAAGGTTACCGTTTTGAATCGAACATGTCACTTTTTTAAAATAAAGTTTACTTGAAATATCGTCTACAGTCCCTTTAATGTCACTTCATGATTAGTGAACACTCCCTTTAAAACAAAAAAGTTAAAATTGACCAAAGGTTCGATTTGAAAATGTTTAGTTTCTGTCACAATTCTTGTCAATACTGCATTATTGGAATAGAGAGCGTTTACTGCAGAAACTTGCAAATAATTCATGTTTTTGAGAAAAATAAGAACAAATCATGTTTTAAATGACGTTGGTTCAGATACAGGGTGTCCCACGAAACATGACAGATGGTGAATAGTTTTGAATGTTTCTTCCTTATCAATTGAAGACTTTTGCAGTTTATTTTGCTAAAAAATCTTTTACTCAATTATATTTTGCTTTTAAATCAACTTTACTATAATAATACTACCAGCATTGTACATTGCCAGCTTTGGATGCATGTGTTACTTGAAAATACGTTCACAGTTTTTCTAAAAGTTCAAGGTTTTTTGAAATCAGTCTCCACAAATATATTCGAGATGGTTATCTACAGGTTGGTTTTTATTTCATTGCAGATTTCAACTCTCGCATCAGATTCAAGGTCAAACGAAAAATTGAAACGAAATCGATTTTAACATTTTCAAATCTTTTGTCAGTGAATTTTGGATTATGTTAGGAAAGTAAATGCTATTTTTAGGAGTGTGACAGAAATTCAAAAAACCCAAATCGTTAAAAAAACGAATCAATAAACGATGCCTATCTTAACCTGGAAGCCTTTAGGTGATAATGGAGAATTAAAATTTTTTTTTTGTTGAAGTATCATTTTTCGTTAATTTGTATGCTTAACTCAAAACTGGAACTAAAATAAGTTAGAGGGAGGTGGGAAGAGAAGGAATGGGAGGGGAGGAGTGTAAGGTTTGGTTTCAGTGTTTATTTAGGCCACCATTAACCAATAAATAGAATTGACTGGAAACCATCCCGAGATAAGAAAATACCAAGAAAAACAGTTTGTAACTAACTGAAGGGCCTGGCGTTGCCAGTGGAATAAAAAAAATGAAAAAAGGGTTAAAAAATGCTTAAAAAAATTTTGTTCGCTTTTTTGGCCTATAACACACCCCACCCGTGAGTGTTGACATTGATAGTCAAGAGAATCTGAGTTGTACCTGGATAGATACGTGTTTGAGAACCTGTTATGGAGTAGGGCATTTACTAAAAAGCGTCATATCTGACTCAATCTGATTGAGTATTATAGCTGATAGTGAGCATGAGTTGTATCTGTACGATACATATTGAGGGATACAAGAGCGTCATATCTGGATTGATACAGACTGCAGAGTATTATAGCTGATAGTGAGCATGAGTTGTATCTGTACGATACATATTGAGGGATACAAGAGCGTCATATCTGGATTGATACAGACTGCAGAGTATTATAGCTGATAGTGAGCATGAGTTGTATCTGTACGATACATATTGAGAGAACTTATTGGAGTAAAGCATTTTCTACATATTAACGTAATTTCTAGAAACCTTTTAATTTATGATTTACTATTACGAAAGTTTTATCTAAAGGGACTGTCAGCGTAATTTCAAGTGACCCTCCATGCAAATGGACAATGCCCGATTTTCAACGGTCTACTTGATTCCTTTAACTGATCAATAATGTGAATGATATTGTCGTTTTTCTAGTTTTATAAGTTTTTAACTCTGATGATTTCTGATTTGTTTTCCTAAAGTAGAAATGCGCAAGTCACATTTAAAAATTATGAACATTGATATCTAATTCATACTTAATAATCAGACAAAGCTTTTAAGGGTACCGTTGTGAATCAGACATTGCCATCTTTGAATGGAAAATCACTTGAAATTACGCTGACAGTCCCTTTTAAGTGCAAAACTTCTGACAATAAAAAGAGTTTAAAAATATTAAAGGAACTTGGCAGAAATAATGCCAAAACATTTCCTACCAAGGTTAGACAATCATTTATTTAGGAGGAGTTTTAGACAATTTAAAAAGATTTTAGATTTAAGGGTTTTTTAGTAGGACGGATTAAAAGAGCTTTGCTTGAACCTTTGAGGTTCAGTGTTTTATACATTAGATAGTTTTAGAGATTTTCAGAGATTTCACAGCTTTTCAGAGAATTCACAGCTTTTCGCGGAGATTTCGAAGCTTTTCAGAGATTTCATAGCTTTTCAGAGATTTCACAGCTTTTCAGAGATTTCACAGCTTTTAGAGATGTCAAAGCTTTTTGGAGATTTCATAGATTTTACAGCTTTTAAGAGATTCAGACTCATTTATAGAGTCCCGAAAAAGGAAGGAAAATGAGAAAAATGATATCTTTATTTAGAAGGAAAGGACGATATCTTCTTTTCCCCCAGATAAGGGTGAAATGATAGTGTGGACCGCGGGATGTGAATCGGAAATGTATTAAAACTTCAAATCAAGGGTTTCTTAAAATTTCCTCGAAAGTTTTAATATAAAATGACACTGACCTATCCCCAAGCTTGAGTTGACAACCATGAACTCCACCGTTGGAATCTCCTACAGAGCTACCCTCGCTCAATGAGCTGACCCCAAGACCCGGGGAAGATCCTATCACGAAATTCTCCATTTTTTAAATCACATTCTTATAAAGTCTGAAGAGACATTTTTTTCATATTAATTTCACTGTTCAGTATAATGTCTAGCTAACTAGTAACTATTCTGCACTTCTCACAAGCTTTACACGTTTTCATGAGAAGCAATCGATCTCCAAATGCATATTTCTGAAAAAGGGGATCATCGAATAGTTGGACGACAAAATTCCAAAAGTTGAAGTTTAATTTTTTTCAGATGTTTAAAGTTGACTGCTTTGAATATCATATAACTTAAGTTTAAAATAGTTGACATCATTTAAAAATGAAAAAAAAAATATTTTTAAAAAGGTTTAAGGACAACCCCTTTCTATTATAAAAATTGATTTAAATTGCAGATTTTCCGTTCCTGATCTGATCTGATCTAATACGTCCCGATCTAATTCTAAACTATCCCATACCACCGCGCGCCACATATCGTCACTAACAGTAACAACACTCGATTTCCAACCTAATCATCATGCAAACCTCAATCTGAAGAGCTACACAAAAAGAAAAATTTCTTTGATCAGATTAAAATAATAGTCATGACTGACGTATTTTTTGTTCCTTATCTTGTTATACAGGATTTTTTCCTCAAGTTGCCAAGAGATCTTGTTCGATCCTCCAACATGAATATTATATATTTTTGGCTGGGAAAACTACGTTCAAATAATCCAAAATGGTCAAGATAGCATATATACAGGGTGTCCCACGAAATATGACAGTTGGTAAATAAGTAAGTAAGTAAGTAAGTAAGATTTATTAGAGATAAATCAAGATCATAATGCATATTATAATATGATTAACTTTCTCATAAGAATATAATTGAATTGGTAAATAGTTTAGAATGTCTTCTTCCATGATTTGTTAAGTTTTTTTTAATACCAAAGACAGTAATAAAAATATTATATAGGAGTCATATTACAGTGGAATTAATTTCAAAGTAAAATAAACTTGATCAAAAGATTTTTTTAACGAAATAAACTTTAAACAGCCTTTAATATCTAATACAGTGTATGGAAGAGAGACATTGAAAACTATTTACCAACTGTCAAGTCAAGTTTCGTGGAACACCCTGTACCTGCCAAAATACATTTAAAATATTGAAAAAATTACTTTGAATCGATCAATCTATATCAAATACTACTTCAGTTCTTCGTTAAAGTAGTAATCAAACGTCATGATTATTGATCATGTTTTATAATCTTTCACGTTTTCTTTTTTTATACTTCTTTTTCGGGTATCCAGCTATTCTTCGTAAAATGTATCAACCCTCAAAATAGTATACTACAAAGTTTTTTAATACTGATGAGAAATCAATTAATCAAGATAATCAAAGATGTTTCTTTGATTTTTTTTGATTACCAAAGTCACTAAAAACTGTAAACCAATCCTAAATAAACAAATGTTTAAATTCTTATTTTAAACAATGTTATTTTTATGCTTATTTTCTATGGCTTTTCATTTCCTTTTCTAAAAAAACGAATATAAAATAGTAAATAAGTTGTATGAAAAAATGTCGAAATAAAGTAACAATTGTAAAAGTATTAACTGTTTTAACAAAATAAATAATTATCTCTTTCAATTAACTTCAAGTCAACCTTAAATATGGCTGATTAATGATAACGACAGTAAAGATTGAAAGTAAAAGTATAAAATCAATAAATACTACTACTATCCCCACCTAACTAATCTACAAGTACAACTTATACTTTATATTAGCATGTCATTGATCCCCCCCTCACCCAAACTTGTGTTTTACCATTTTATCCCACTTATCTTCCTTCAACCCTCCCCCTCACACACTTCTTTATTGCAAATTTTAAATCCATGGTGATCCAAACTGAGAGCTATGAAAATGATGCTTCAGTAAACTGTCAGGGTATAGCATATAAAACATCTCTGCTATCTAGCTATACCCTTTTGCCAACAACTATGGGACAAAGGAATTGAGTTGTTGCCACAAACTCAGATTTTCTAATCTCTATATCTATGCAAACCAAGGAAGTGAAATTTTGCGTAACGTAATCCTATTATTTTGGCACGACGTTCTACCACAAAGTTTTTGGACTTCAATTTTCTCTGTATTCTGAAAGGTTCTTGCCTTTCAAGAATATATTTTGTCCCTTGCTAAAGCTTAGGAATAGCCCTGGGAACCAAAAAATTGTGTTATCAATATTTATCAAGCACTCCAATAAGAAATTTGTATGAACTTATCAAAATAGTAAACATTAAACAAGTTTAGAACATTTTAAAGAATTATGATTTTATATTCTTTTATCCAATGGTTTTTATTTATTTATTATAGATATTTTTTAGGGATAAAAATTTGAATTGACGCAAAATTCATAAGTTTTACATTTTTTAAAGTTTACACCACCATCTACTTTTTATATCATGAATATGTACTTAATTTGTTAAGAAACCGTTAAGGTAAAATGAAAGGGGGTATATTAATAATATGTTGAATTTGGAAATTTTTGTTCCTATTTTCAGAATAGCTTCACAATAGCATGCTTAAGGGAAAGACACCCTAATGCAAAACAGGCAAAATATCTGTCTTTATAAACTATAATGTGTGAAAAGTTAAAAATCTAGTTTTTAGTCTTTAGTCATTAATTTTGACTCTTTTTGAGTCTTATAAGTCAAAATAAAATTTCGCCTGAGGCGCGATTTTTTGTTCCTAATTATGATTTTTTTGTTCCTAAAAAATTTTCCCCCCCCCCTCACTTAAATCCTGTATCCGGCCCTGGTTGAAGTCTAAAAACTTTAGATGTTGATCGCGACCAATATTAGTTCTATTTGATATCGCTATTAAAAATAAATAAGTATTACATTCAAATTAAAACAGGATCGAGTATTTAAAACTTACATATATCACATATATATGGTTTTGGTATAAAAGTCCCTTTAAGCTATACCAATGTCGATTTCAATTTCCCCCTCGCTTCACTATGCCCCCTCCTCTTCCTAGATTATTCCACCTGGAAGTTCTAGACTAAACTAAACCATTTATACACCCAGTCCTTGCTTATACAGGGTGTTCCAAAAAACATTGGAATTTAGTAGCGATTTCGAGATCGTCTTTGTTTGATTTGTTTATAATATTCATCAACATATATGATATGACTAGTGTCTATGAAATGTTTCTATGATATGCCTAGCATCTATGAAATGTTTATTTATGATATGTCTAGTGTCTATGAAATGTTTATCTATGATATGCCTAGTGTCTATGAAATGTTTATCTATGACATGCCTAGTGTCTATGAAATGTTTAACTATGATAAGCCTAGAATGCCAGTGTCTATGAAATTTCTATGAAATGTTTTATGAATATGTCCTGTCTACAATTGAATGTACTGACTTTTTAATTTACAATCTGTGAAATTATAGAAATATCATGTCTATAAAATGTCCTGTCTTTATAAAATGTTCTGTCTATAAAATGTCCTGTCTATAAAATGTCCTGTCTATAAAATGTCCTGCTTATAAAATGTCCTCTTTATAAAATGTTCTGTCTATAAAATGTCCTGTCTATAAAATGTCCTGCTTATAAAATGTCCTGTCTATAAAATGTCTTGTCTATAAAATGTCTTGTCTATAAAATGTCCCGTCTATAAAATGTCCTGTCCAAAAAATGTCCTGTCTATAAAATTTCATATCTGTGGATTGCACGTGGATTTGTATCTAATACACAAAGTAAGCTCAAATTTTTTGTGGTGACTCACATGGCCACATGGTAGGTTCATGGCCTGTCTAAATTGAAAAGGTTGTCTAAAGAAATTTTGTTTAGAAATCTATAAATGCAAATTGTACACAGAATTAAATCAGCGAAATTTTGGCTTTAGGAACACATTTATATGTTTTAAAAAATTTAGTTTTTGTGCTTTACACTTTGTAAATGTAATTGGGCTAGGGCTCCCATAGTTTTCAGTGCAATAATTATAAACAGATTTTGATTTTCTCAAAAATATTTGAAATTATGATATTGCATTCGAAACATTATGATTTCATGTTTTATAAAAAATGTATCCATTACAAATTCCATTGTGAAAATCTTTTTAATGGGTAGAAAAAATTTCAATTTTCTGTTTTGGATGAAATGATTCCTATCCAATTTCATGGATGCACATCTAAAACGTTTCTGAGCAAATTTGCTTCCGTTGCGCCTTAAAGTAGCTCGTTTCAGATGCAGCGACTTCCCCCTGCCTATCCTAGACGCAGCGCTCGGCCTAAATATTTAATCCTTAACTTGTACAAAATATTAGATAATTCATAATTCTTTAGATTTTTCGTTTTAAGTCAGGTAATGAATGTGTCCTGATCAATCTTAATCCTTGTTAAAAACATCAGTCAACACTGAAATGTCGTTTTGTGGTGTTCTGACGCAGACTGATGGCCAATTTCTTAGACGCTCTACCATAGGTAGAACCATGTGACTAGTCACACTATGGTTACGCTTTACCAGAGCAGCGTAGATAGACAGATACGACCTATAGTTAAATGAATATGAAATTGGCCAAGATTAATGAAGCCAATGTTCATTGCCTGATACTATTCCAGAATTACTCTTATCTCCTAATCTAAAATGCCTGAGATGACCGAAGCTCTGACCACCAAGCCCGAGGAGGTGAACCAGGAGAATGACTCCGGAACTGATTCCGACGGAGAGGATTCAATCCCAGAGCTCGAGGTAATGCAACGAATTCATTCCCCCTCCCAAGTCAAAGGATGATTTCAGTTTGCTGTCTGAAATAAAGTTTTTCTGTTGTGGATTAAACAACATTAATAATGATACGAGTTTACAGCTGCAGGTAACGATTGAAATAAGAAAGAAGATTGATTACATTCAGTATGATCCTTGCTTATGTCTTTTCCTTTGTGGGTAACCCTGTAGCTATAAAAAAAGTTGGCTTATAGTGGGTTATTTCGGGTAGATTTATTTAACATTTTTCATCTCGTGCGTCTTTGAATTGTGGTGCAAACTTTTCTTATTCTCCTCGGGCTTCGTAAATTCGTTACCTCTCCATGGCAATGGGAGGGTGTAAATTTGTGATAATATATTCCCTTGGTAGCATCCATACTGTCTATGGGTAATATCAGATAAATTTTAAACTCAGTTTCTAGACCCGTTCAAATACAAAAAAAAAGATGACTAGTTGAAAAAGCTCAACACTTATTTTCAGATTCTCATTCTTGAAATGTTTTTTTAATTTTGATATATTCTAGGAAACTGCTGCAGGTGGAGAGGGTTCCGCTGTGGCTGCTGGAGATGATATGACCGCTGGAAAGAGTAAGCAGAGTAGAGGAGAGAAGAAAGCCAGGAAAATAATGTCCAAGCTTGGGCTTAAGCAGGTTGGTCCCTTGGTTAATTTGACGGGAAGATCAAATACGAGTTCTGAGGCCATTCCTTCTATAGTGGTCGTGTTTTTCACGTACTTTTGGGGGACGATAATCTGGCCGCTAGATGTCTCCAGTGAGTTAGTGACAGTTTCTCACGCCATTCGGTATCTTGGAACATAAGCCGTACTGTGGTAGCACTAATCTAAGTAGCTTTCTGATTTGTTTCATTGATTGGTTGCCATAGTGTGATCTGTTATAATGATATCGATACGTAATAATACTNCTAATGCATGTATATATGGTCGGACTCGAGGAGAATTGAAAAGGAGGGGGCGATAAGGTTTCCGTACACTTTGCTGTGACGTTTTTGGACTGCCGAGGAACTAGTTTTTGCGTAACAACAATAATAAAGATTGTAAACAATAACACAAATGATAATCAGACGTCTGGCATCTCTGGCGCGTTCATCTTATACTAATTCATGTTTGTTTATATTAGGTTGGCTGCCTTTGTTATTGTTGTTACGCAAAAACTAGTTCTTCAGCAGTCCAGAAACGTCATAGCAAAGTGTACGGAAACCCTATCGCCCCCTCCTTCTATTCAATTCTCCTTGGTCGGACTTAACTAATAACTCGCGGAAGAACGCGTTTGAGCAATACCCTATTTCTCCGTACAAATGACGACCATTATAGGAGACTTCACCTTGTCGACCAATTTAGTTTTGGAAGGCACGGCATCCGAGTCCTAATCTTCCCAAAATAACGGGTTTAAAAACATTCTTTGCATGTCTCAGTACTGGCTTCAACGTCTTTCCGATAGATGTCACCATAAGAATAAGCGTCAGCGCATAATCTAATTTTACTCTTCTTTCGAATTGTTATCACTGAAGGGGTTGTGTTTCACCAAACTTTATACTTTCTCTTGTTGACTTTTAAATCCAATGATCCTAATTAATCAATTTAAATTAAGTTGCTATGTTAAATTTTATTGAAGATTTTAAGATATCTGGCAGGGGTGTGTTTCCCCCTGTTTTGAAATAAATCCCCCCCCCCCCCAGAAGTTCGTTTCGTTTGTGCATAACGCAAAAAAAAAATAATTTTGTGTTTCAAACTTTCAATCGCTTAATTGGGGTATAAATTAATATTTTGGGGGCCAAAGTATGATAAAGGATTAAACAACTTGCCTTTTAATGGCGAATTTTTCATTCCCCCTCTCCCCAAAGATCTTAAATTATTCTTAATTTTTACACCCCCTCTTTCTCGAGTTTTTTCACCTATTGAATTGGTTGGAAACTTTTATGAAATATTCACTGAAAACAACTGTATGCGTTACTTAAATTGCCAATGATTTAAAGGTTTATTACCGATTCAACCTTGAAACCTAACTGATAAAAAAAGGCCGAAAATTATGTGGTTATTCTAGCTGAAAAAGTAATTATTAATTAATACGGTTAGTTTATCCATCGATATATATAAGGCAAAAATGCCAAGTCGCTTGAAGACAAATCACAAATAGAACAAAGATATCTTACGAGGAAACTTGCCACTATCAATTTAGGGTCAATTGTTACGTTTTCATTAAACTTATTATATTTTCACAAGTTTGTTTACTTTTTGTTATGTATGTTTTTAAGCAAGTTTGAACGAACTCTGTTATTCCATTTAATTAAGTGTTAAATTTTTTCCAAATCTAAATTCAAATTAAATAAATTTATGTTTTCCTATAGCTTTGAATCTTATTTTGGACTAATATTTAGGTTACCGGAGTGTCACGAGTAACTATTCGTAAATCCAAGAATATTCTGTTCGTGATCAACAAGCCCGATGTGTACAAGAACCCAGCCAGTGACACCTACATTGTGTTCGGCGAGGCTAAGATTGAAGATCTCTCCCAGCAGGCACAGATGGAGGCCGCTCAGAAATTTAAGGTATTGTTGTGGAGTACATATTAATTCGTACTGAGAAATATAAAAAAACAGATTTTGACCCCGACTCCACGGCCCCCAGTCGTCAAAGAAAATCACTTAATTTTTAATTTCTCAGTTATTTTTGGGCACTTACTCGTATTCGTATTTTCTGAGATGATACTTCCATCCTTTCCTCTCAGTCCCTGGAGATAATAACCAATTGCCATTTTTTTATTCAGTTTTCTCATATTTTTCAGGACTAATACATTTTAATCAATACACTTTAATTTTAAAGGTTTTTTATTTCTAGTTAATTAACGAGACTAGGCGCTATCTAGTCATCATAATTTTATTTTTATACGGATCCATGTCAATGTCTTGCTCAATCTAATTTAAAAGTGTTTCAAAGTTTGCATTTTTCCATAATCAAATTTATTTACGGTTTTTAAACTTCAGAACAACTCACTCTTCAGAGAAAATTTTTTTTTGACAAGAATCGACTTTTTCCCACTTGTTGGATACTTCACACAAAAAATTTAACTTAAATTCCTCTTAAATCAATTGATCATTTTGTTTACAAATACATTTACATACCTGCCAAAAGTTCATCTTGAGTCAAAATTAATGATTTTTTTGTGTTTTAGGCTGCTGAGGCTAGTGCTCCTAGTGAGATGGGAGGATCTGGAACTACTGGACACCCCGCTATCCCAGAGGAAGATGACGATGACGAGGATGTGGATGAGTCTGGAGTTGAGGCCAAGGTACTTATAAACCACCTTCCCATCCTCCATACTTGTCTGGGAAAGAAGCAACTCTTAAAATAAACTGTATTTTATGTGCCTTGGCAACTTCTGAGTTCGTTTTAAAATGAAACCGTTATTAAGGGTTTTTACAATTTTCAGTGTATAACTGAAGGTTCATGTGAAATCAAAAAAATATCAAACGTTCTCAAAGAAGTGAAAAATGCCATCAGTTCTTCCAACATGATTTCGTCATTGTTTTTGGGTCCACTTTTCAACATTCATAACTCTTCAAGGGACTTGACAAGATTTTGGCTGTTTTTCGCGGTTTTTCATAATTTTAAAAATGATGTGAAATGTGCCTTATAAATTTGCGTTTGTTCTCAACTGGACTGAAAGCGTAATTTAAAGTGACTCTTTATGCTAAGATGGCAATGCCCTATTCACAACGGTACCATTGAAACCTTATTTTTTGTGCAGGTTACTTCAGGTTTCAAAGTATTGAATTCTGCCGTAGAAATGCGGCTTTTTTTTAAAGAGAAACCATAAATGTTAATAACCAGTTCTCAAAATTGTAAACTACATCTATTTCATATTTGATCAGAAAAGCTCTTAATTGGACCGTTGTGAATCGGACATTTGTATAATTGCACTTATCTTAAACTCACCATTACAGTCCTTATAAAGCAAAATCTTAATATGGACGTCTGGTGTTAAAGGATATGGGAGGAATTCAAAATCTAAATGAAACTAATGAAAAGATTTTCTTTGTACTGGACAATGACATTATTATTTTAGGATATCGAGTTGGTGATGTCCCAGGCTAACGTATCCAGGGTTAAAGCCGTGAAAGCCTTGAAGAACAACGCCAACGACATCGTCAATGCGATTATGGAACTCACGATGTAGTTCTTAGTCTCCTATCGTAATTTCTGTCCTACTTGTATAAGCAATTACCTGCGCCATGAGCTGATTATTGATCTTGTTGCAGAAGAATGAGTTCAGAAAAGAATATGTTGGTTGAGGATGATCATGAAGACATGTCCAGTGATGAAGAAGATACCAACGCAGCACAGGCGGGAGCTGTTGCACTTCTTAAAGTGAGTCTAAATAACCTATTTTTCCTAGCTGGACTTAAGCTAGAAACTAATAGGCTTTTATTAGAAGTTTTTCCTGTTTTTAAATAGATATTTTTCTGTCATTTATTAAATATAATTTTTGAAGGATCCTGCAGTATTAGCTGCCCTTCAAGGAAAGCTTGGAAGCATGGTCGGTCAAAACAGTGGATATATCGCCTCCCTGCCAGCCCCCGTTAAACGCAGGTATTGTTTATTTGTGAACTAAAAAACGGGAATGTAAACATTCATCTTGTGTTTAATTTCGTTGGGAATATTAAATAAACATGCTTTTATTTCATATCAGACATTTCAAGTTCTGGGTTCAGATTTATTGAATAGTAAGACTGACTGAATTACGAAGACGTCATTAAACCACCTTCAGCTTGAACAGGCGCACAAGAGAAGAGGTTTGCCAATGTCTGCATAGTTCATCAATATTACTGCTATTCGTTAAATCTGGTCTCGTGGTCAAAATTGCAAATAATTTTGGAAAGTATTCTTAAATTAAATCTTATTCTGGGTCGTTTATCTCTTAATAGGTACAAATAAAGGGGATGGTGGAGATGTCCTATTTGATGTGGGGGGGGGGGGGTCCCATCTTAATTTTTTGTTCAAATCGTCCAATTTTTTGGCCGCACGTCAAATTATTGATCCATTTGCATAAAAATAAATTATACTTATGACCTCTAATGGCCTTGATGATTAGAAATTGTTTCAACTAAGACTTCATCAGTCGAATTCCCTGAAGTAAGCCTGAAAAACAACTTATTCCCAAATAAATCATCCTTATAAAGGCCTAATTGCTAATATATTTATCACTTAAAAGTTAAAAGTTTATTCGGAGCGTGATTTTTAAAAAGTTTTGATTACGTATAATGCATTGGATCTCAAGTTTTGAACAAAAGAATCACTTGATGTTTCTTTTTTCGCTTTCAATTAAGATAGAACTTAAGTAACCATTCAGAGATGAAGACATATTTAATTATCTCGATTATCTCTCTTTTTAAGGCCTACGAGTTTTAACCAAGCTTTTTTGGATCCTGATCCGTCGATCCGCATATTTTAAGGATTCGGATCTGAAGCACTGATAAATGGCTGAAATATCCTTGAATTAATTTATTTTTAGGATCAAGAGTTTGAAAAAGCTCCAACTTGAGGCAACTAATATTGAAGCAAGGTTCTACGAAGAGGTTCATGAGCTAGAAGTCAAATATCACAGTCTTTATCAACCATTATATAACAAGCGGGCAACAATCACAAAAGGTCATTTTCCATTTAGTTTTATTGAGAGGAAGTAGTTTGATCAGCAGGGGAGAATATTTTTGTCTATGCGGGGCACAAATAATTACAAATGATAAGTTCCGAAAAATGGAGGCATGGCTCAAATTTGTTCAGCTGCTGAGATCTTAGCGGGTATTAATTAGTTCAAACCGAATCAATTTAACAAAAATATTAGATTTATGTGGAACCGGGCTGGAAAAACTAAGTGCACAGTGAATTGAACCCCCACATTGCATGAAGGAGCCTGAAATCTCTACACCTAATTATTTGATCTTATTTTCCGCTGAATGGGGAAATTCAATTCTAAAAAAATCTTTTCTCCGGAAATTCTACTGTTTTCACAAGGGAGGGTTGATTTTTCTAGAAAATTAACACCCCTGCCAAAAGACAAATGGGGAAGTGTTTTTAGCTAGTTAGTTTTTTGGTCGTTTTTGCCTAAATTTTCTTTCATGGTCAAAATTTGGCATAACAGAAGAGTAGCAAATGTCAAATTTTTCTACTCTAGAAGTATGTCAAATTTTGACTGGCGGAAGATTAATGCTAAAACCAACCCCAAAATGGTTCATGAACAATGCAAAAACAAGCGTGTTGTAATTTGATAGTTTAAAAAAATTAGGATATTGCTTTGCTGAAAAAAGGCAAACTTTAATAAATTATTTAAATCTTATGGAATTTTTTTTTAAAAGCGATCCAAAACGATTAATAATCCTGAAGACGAACCTACAATCTAATTTTATATCTACCTGGTCTAATTGTTCTAATTTTAGGAGATTATGAGCCGACAGAGGAGGAATGTGATTATCCATCAGATTCTGAAGATGAAGAAGCTGAGCTTTCAGAGGATGTTAAAGACAAGGTAAGCATTTTACCCCGATAAATCTTGACCAAAAATCGTCCGTTTTTAAATATGACTGACAAGTTTCTTTAGTGTAAGCAATGATAATCCTATGTGTCCATTTTTCTTGTAACAAGTCTATTTGTTGTATCAACATAAACGGAACAAAAATCATGAATCTCGAGCATGAAAGAAGAAAATTAACAGTGTTAACCAGAGGCGTATTCAGGGGGATTTGGCGTAATTATAAGCTTGACAATTATTTAAGTTTTAAAAAATAAATAAAATCAATTATTAATGAGAAAAATTGGGATCTTATTTTGATAATTTTCTTTCAGAAAATGAAGCTTTTTATTAAAAAAATCGCTTCAACTTCTCCAGAAGATATCTGGATTTTTCTTTAATTGAATTATTTTTCTAATAATTTTTTTTATTTGAGAAGGCAAAGATTGAAGATGAGACGAAATCTGAAGTTAAAGAAGTAAGATTTTTTTAATACAAAGGGGATTGAGGAGATGATGAGGGGGGGGTCCCTGCCTTCATTTTTGGATCAAATCTTCCTATTTTTTGGCTGCACTCCTAGTTTGTGTTAGAATCTCTTAAACTAAAATTGAATTGAAATTTAATGACCTCGACAAATAGAAAATGTTTCAGCTATGACTTAATGAATATCAAACGAAAGCTAGGAACCCAAGGAATACAGTAACAGCAACGAATCTAGGGTTTGACCCTCTAATGACCTAAAATGACATCCAAAATGAAAATTTTGCACTATGGCTTTATGTAAATAGTGTTCGACACTCTGATGACCTCTAATGACCTCAACAGCTTCTACTTTATTACCTCCGTCCATAGCTTCAGTTTGATTGCATAAAGCCAAAGTAAAAACATACCTGATGGTCCTTAAAGGTTGTTGGAGTTCATTAGAAAGTGAAACACTGGATTCCATGCTGCTACTGTATTTCCTTTCGTTTGATATGCATAAAGCCATTTTCTTTTTGTAGGTCAGTATATGCCATTAGAGGCCATTAGAAGGTCGAACACTGGATTCGTTGCCGCTACTGTATTCCCTGGGTTATTAGATATGCATAAAGCCATAGTTAAAACATTTTCATTTAGGGTGTCATTTTGGAGGTCATTTTAGGTCATCAGAGGTCGTTAGAGGTGACAAGACGGTTGAACACTAGATTTGTTGTTGCCGCAGTATTCCCTGGGTTCCTAGCCTTTGTTGGATATGCATAAAGCCATAGTTAAAACCTTTTCATAGAGGGCGTCATTTAGAGGATCATTTTGGAGGTCATTTTAGATCATCAGAGGTCGTTATTCTCTCTTTTCCCCATTGCAACTAAGCAAATTCAGTCTTCACAAATTAAGGTGTAAGGATGTGTAAGAGTGAGGGGAAAAGGGAGGGGGCGCACATATGCTTAAAAGATACAGATGCTAAGGAACATCTTGTGTTACCAGTATAAAGAGACTGTTCTCTGCCCTGAAGATATTCAAATCAGGCCTAAGGAGTTGCCTGAAGGCTGATATTCCAAACGCCCTCCTTCTACTAAAAGCTAATATGAATTAGACCTGTTTTTTTTCATCCAATAAAGTAAAAAAAAAATCATTATCATTTTGTGCAAACTAGTAGAAAAATAGAATAAAAAAATGTTAAAATGTTTAACATTTTTTTAGGCATGAAAAGACATTTGAACTAAAATAAAAAAAATTTTATCAATGATCTGGATCCGGATCCATCCGGATCCATTTTTTTGAAAAGCGGATCCAGGATCCGGATCAGCATCAAAATTAAATGGATCCTAAGCACTGCTTTAAATCTTCATTTGATCTGAAATGTAAGATACCGTCGTTTTTCTTTGAGCGGTAACTTCTGAAAAGAGAATCCGCAAATGAAAATAAACAATTGCAAAAACATGGATTTTTAATTCATTTAGATTAAACTAAGCTTTAAAGGGCACCTGTAGTAAATCGGGTTTCTATTTTACACGGATGGTTACTTGAATTTGGATTGAATTTAATCAAAAGTGGTATATTAAGTTCAGGTTTTATACCGCATAATTTATCAGAACTGGTGTTCAGGCTTAAGGATGAAAAAACTTACCGTTGATGTCCAATTTTTTATTTCTTCCCTCCCTTTTTAAAGTGATCTATCTCTGACTTGAGTTCCATGGAATAATGATTGATCTTTTATTTATTTATTCAGGAGGCTGACGAACCCGCTCTAGAATGTCTAGAAGATATAACCACCACCCTGACTGAGAAAAGTCCGATGGGATTTAGTCTTCACTTCCACTTCAAGGAGAACGAATATTTCACTAACTCTGTACTTACTAAGGAGTATCATATGAAGTGTGAACCAATGGTGAGATTTATTCACTTCATTTTTTTGAAAAATCTGAGTCAACTTTTTATCATTTATTTGAAGCGTAATTTGCGTATATTTATTCCTAAAAAAAACTGAGGTACATAATCCCGTCTACTTGGTCGGAATTCCAATCTTTTTAGTAGTCAACTTCACTTTATTAAGTTATGTACAATTTTTCAAAATTCACTTTTTTCACTAGGATTTGATTTCAAACCTCCCCCCCCCCCCCTCTTAATACAAGTAACTTGTTATTATGTTTTTACTTAATTCCTGAATGTTATTTTTAAGCTCATCCAGACTAAAAATATTGCTCATCCGATCCATAAATTGTTACCCATCTGATTTATAAATTATTGCTCATCCGACCCATAAATTATGCTCATCTAAACCACAAATTTTGCTCATCCGAAAGATATTTTACCGAAAATGGCCTAATTTCCTAATTTTCTGTTTAGAAAGATGATCCGTTCAGTTTTGAAGGTCCGGAAATATTCAAGTGTAAAGGATGTACAATTGACTGGAAGAAAGGTAAGCGATGTAATCTATTTTTTGACCTGGAAACTTAATTATTCGGGAATTTTTAAAATCTAAATTTCTTCGTCTTCGTTCAAACTGTTTCTGTTGACTTTTGAACTTGGGACTGTAATTTATCTGTCCTTGGACCTTCATCTTACTAAGGTTGTGAAGGCACCGTTAAGAATATGACAGTAATAAACGGGAGGACACTTAAACTAAGTCTCAGAATAAATAATAAAAATGGTTTTGTGCAAAATTTGGGTGGAATAAAATTATTCGAATAAGATTATTCAAGTTTTTTTTAATCAGAAAGGTTAATTATGTTTTCAGACATTAAATAAAAATTTCTTTTGATTAGGTAAGAATTTGACTGTGAAACAAGTAAAGAAGAAGCAGAAGCACAAGAGTAAAGGAAATGTTAGAACCATTACTAAACAGGTGAACAAATGATTTGAAAGACAAAAAAAAGTAAAATATAAGTGTTTTATTTTTCCCCTAAAATCTGTTTGATACTACCCAACCCCTTGAAAACTATATTTAAAAACACTTCGTGGAAAATGCGAAGATTCTTTTGAAAGCAGTGCTTAGGATCTATTTAATTTTGATGCAGATCCGGATCCTGGATCCGCACTGAAAAAAGAATGGATCCAAATCCGGATCCGGATCCAGGTCATTTCTTTAAGATTTACTGAATTTTTTTAACGAAAAATAATTTTCAAATTTTTTGTTTTATATTTTTCGCTTGTTTTTATCTTTACTTGATAAATCATTCAGAAATGAGGAAATTTTTATAATCTCTTTATCAAAAGTTCAGAATTGGGGTTTAGGAGTAAAAAAGTTTTTTTTTTGTTTTTGGTTGATATTTTACCCCTTGATCCGGATCCGTATATTTTTGCGGATCCGGATCCAGGAAGCCAAAATCTTGCAGATCCAACGGATCCGGATCCTAAGCACTGGTTGAAAGGGTCTGATTTTCATGAAGTTAAAATTTTAAATTATTCCATCGGTTGAAATGTCCGATTCACAATGTTACCCTCTAAACCTGTTAAACAATGAGAATATATCTATGTGTAAATTCTGACCATTTCTTTTTTCTTTGCGGCAGAAATCAAGTTATAATAAAGGAAAGAAAATTAATTTTAGTTAATATTTCATAAAGGTTAAAGTGGTACCGTTGTATTGTTTGGCGCGAACTTGCGAAAATATCTACCAGTTCCTTTATTTACAAATATTTTAGGTGAAAGCTGACAGTTTCTTTAACTTTTTCGATCCCCCTCCAGTTCCTGAGGATCCTACAACAGAGGTTGATGAGGATACACAGGCCTTCCTCACAGCTGACTTCGAGATAGGTCACTATATTAGGTTAGTTTTATCTTTCACACTGCTGACTTCGAGATAGGTCACTATATTAGGTTAGTTTTATCTTTCACACTGCTGACTTCAAGATAGGTCACTATATTAGGTTAGTTTATATGATATTCCTCACTGCTGATTTCAAGATAGGTCACTATATTAGGTTAGTTTATATATTCCTCACTGCTGACTTCAAGATAGGTCACTATATTAGGTTAGTTTATATATTCCTCACTGCTGACTTCAAGATGGGTCACTATATTAGGTTAGTCTATATATTCCTCACTGCTGACTTCAAGATAGGTCACTATATTAGGTTAGTCTATATATTCCTCACTGCTGACTTCAATATAGGTCACTATATTAGGTTAGTTTTATCTTTCACATTGCTGACTTCAAGATAGGTCACTATATTAGGTTAGTTTATATATATATATATTTCTCACAGCTGACTTCGAGATAGGTCACTATATTAGGTTAGTTTATATATTCCTCACTGCTGACTTCGAGTTAGGTCACTATATTAGGATATTATATTTGGTTAGTTGAGACGTTGTTAAAAATCACTTCATAACGTCATTAATTTTAGAGCTTAACAGGGTTTGTAGGCGTAATTTTTAGTGACCCTTTTTTAAATGGCATCTTTAAAGCTATGTCAGATCAAGACTAAATAAGTTATCCAGCTTAATAATTTTGAAAACTGATAAAATTCGAATGTGGCTTTTTTTTTTTGAAGGTTTTAAAGGAACCGTTGAGATCGGGTGCCCCTCTAAAAATGAAAGGTCACGTGAAAATACGATAACACGCATCCTGAGAAAAATAAACTAAATGATTTGTTTGTGTTAAGAGAGAGAATAGTACCCCGGGCAGTATTATACTTTACTGGAGAAGCTCTTGAGGAAGATTCAGAGTTTGACGAGGAGGAATCTGGCGACGAGGANTAGCTACAGTGTTACCCACAAAGGATGAGGAAAATCTCTGGCCATTATTTATTCCCTTGCAACATTAGTGTAGTGTCTAAATGTTTCTTTTTTACAAATAAAAAAATGGTTTCTTGCATTCAGTAGATGGGGTATCTACTGAATGCAAGAAACCATGCTTTCGGTGTAGTGATGACACTAAAGTTTTTTGAAAACTTATTTGATTAGTATTAATTTTTTTAACTTGAAGCCTTGATTTATTTTACCGGGTTACCGACCAAGGATGAGATTGTTGAAACGACATAAAATTCGTAAATATACGACAATTTTAAACTTGATTTTTGATTTCTTCACGGGTGTATATTTTTATTTCCCCCCCCCCCCCCCCCCCCCNAAAAAGTGGGGAAAGGGAAAAGATGAATCACAAAAAACCAAAATTAAAAATAACAGTATCAGAAACGCTTCAAAAAAACTCGAGCGGGACCTTGAAGTAGACCTTTTTAGCTCCATTTTTACTACTAAAATCCAAAGAATTCTTGCAAAGCAGTAAACTTTTTCAACGTTTGCGATGGTTTTAGAATCCTGTAAAATATACCTTTTTTGAAGTTGGATTTGGGGGGAAAAAATGATTCTAATAGGGGGGACAAATATGAGTCTCGAAACAATATTCACCCCTGGTTCTGCATTTTAATTAGTAGTTGATGCTAAATGTAAGAAAAATGATTAAACAAATTCCGCAGAATCGTTTCTGAAGTCTCATTCTTTTTGGGTAACCCTGTATGATATGAAGATTTAATTGTTTTCTTGAAATTAATTCTGGTTGATATTTAGGAAGTGACGCAGACCCTGATTTCGATCCTAAGTCTGCCCCAAACCCTGAATGTAAGCAGCAGTAATCTCAAACTAGAAAATCCACCAAATCTCAGTCCAATTCTATGGATTTGTCTCACTTACAGTCGTGGATTTTCTGCATGCCGACCTGTTCCCTCGTGTCAAACTCTCATATGTTATACTTAATTGTTGGACATTCGTGTTGAAAATTCGGCTGAAGATTTTATAGCATTTACTGTGATTTTTTTACCAGAGAAATAAACCTAACTACAAGAAATGGTTTACACTTTTAATGTATCATGTTTCTTGTTTTAACCAAAAAATTTCATGTGATTATTGGATTCTGTGTGCTCAGATATAGAATGCAGTTAAACGGCGAAGAAAATGTGGAGACATGATTGAAGTTTAGAAGATTTGGACGAATTGTATTTTGAGCAAACTACAACCTTGCTGCGATAATCTTCAGTAGTTCTACGTTAACAAGTTGCTGACTGATATATTTGAAGATAACTGACATATTTCTACAACGACTTTAGGGTCAAGTCATGGGTGACATCCCTCCCTCCCTTTTAAAATTATCCCCCCCTCATCCTCGAAGATAAAAAAGCGTTGGCATCGTTGGCACAGAGTGGAACAATAAAAAGACTTTCTTAGCTGTGTTTGGGGAAAATAGTTGAAAAGGCTTTATCGGGAAACATAAATTAAAATTGGAAATGAAGGATGATGGGATACAAAATTTTATAATTTATCTTCCCTAAATCATCGTTAATCATTTCACAAAGAAATACACCATGGGCTGAGTTGAATTAGAATTTAAAGTTGACTGACAAATTTAAAAAGTTGATGATAGTAGCGTAAAATTGGTAGACATTTTACATTAAAGGGACTGTCAGAGTAACTTTAAGTGATCCTTCATGCAATGACGTAACTGTCGATTATAACTGCATCCTTGAAAGCAACTTGTGTGATCAAGTTGGAATTAGATATTAATGACTTTGTTTCTTTACTGATGATTTTCATTTGCGATGTAACTGATGTCTTTTAAAAAGCGAAACTTAACGAAAATAGAAACACTTCTAGTCAGAAAATGACTGTTTTTTCCATATTTTTTTTATCAGATTAAGGTTTCAGGGTTACCTTTAATAATTGCCATTATTGCATGCGAACATTTGAAATTAGGCTTTCACTCCCCTTAATACATTAAGCTCTAAATTTGTCTATATATATTTATCTTAACTTTGTAAAACCGTAACGACTTTCTCAACTTTTTTACCGCCCCAAGAACCCTATGATTCCCCCAAGATAGTGACGTCAACTTTATCTTTTTCATCTTTAAAGTTGAAGAAATGGTGGACAACCACTTCACTCCGGAAATTAAGATTTTTACTTTATCACGAATCAATTTTGCCAAATTGGTCTTGGAAACCCTTGTTAAGTAAATTTCCCTTAACTTCCCTGTAAAGTAGTTGTAAATAATTATCATCATTAACAGATGTGGTAGCTCTTATTGTAACATTTCCAAGCTACGACGGCCGAATGTGCTAAGAATTTAATACAATGCATTCTACTTTAGACTTATTTTTTATATCTAACTTTCAAGCAGCGTGGAAACAAACGAAGGTGTCAATTAAAAGCTTCCCTTCGTTTACTTGTAAAATTGTTATTGAATAAAAAGCATTTGTTAAAAATCAAAACTTCATATAAAATGGCGTCCTTATTGTATTGATATGAAACGCATCTGGGGAATCTAAAGTTCTAGATTCCCCAGATGGAATGTAATTTTCCGAGCTTTAATGTTATCTCAATATTTTTGGTTCGTCTTTGATAATTTGTTTTCATAGAAATACAATGGCTACGGATAACCTTGAACTATTTTGCGAGGTAATAGAACATAGTTTTTATACACGTAATAAAGAGTGTCTTTTTTCCCATAAATTGTAAAGATACAAATAGCAGGCAGACCACATTTTGGAAAATATAAAAGACGCGTCCTTTTAGAATTCATCGTCGCTTAATTTCTCGTGTAAGGTTGAACACTTCGTATATAAAGTGCTTGTACTGAATCATTACTGTATTATAATATTGTGTACTGAGTACAAATTAATGTTATGTACTGTAGTACTTATGTTGTACTGAGTACGCATCAATGTTGTATACTGTAGGTAGTGCTTAGGATCCGGATCCGTTGGATCCGCAAGATTTTGGCTTCCCGGATCCGCAAAAATATCCGAATCCAAGGGGTAAAATATCAATCAAAAACTGCAAAAAAAAAACCTTATTTACTCCTAAAACCAAAAACTGAACTTTTGAAAAAAGGAGAGATTATAAAAATTTCCTTATTTCTGAATGGATGAAGTTTCAGGATAAAAATATGCGGAAAAAAAAATTTGAAAATTATTTTTTGTTAAAAAGATTTAGTAAATCTTACAGAAATGACCTGGATCCGAATCCGGATCCATTTTTTCCCAGTGCGGATCCAGGATCCGGATCCGCATCAAAATTAAATGGATCCTAGGCACTGACTGTAGGATTACCTTTATACTAGGTACAAATTAACGTTGAGTACTGCATGGATGTTGTATAAATTAATGTTACGTACTGTAGGATTACTGTTATACTAAGTACACATTAATTTTATATACTGTAGGATTACTTTTTTATTCAGTACAAATTAATGTGGTGTACTGTTGGATTACTCTTGTAATCTATATATAAATTTGGCTTGTCTGTCTGTTTGTATCCAATAAACGTCAAAACGGTTGAACCGATCGGGCCCAAATTTTTTGTGGGACATATAGGGACCCCAGGGAAGGTTTATGAATGATTGAAATTTCGATCTTCATTAAAATTTTTAAAATTTTGAAAATCCACGAATTTTTTTGTGAAAATCCGCGAATTATTTTTGTTTTGTTTTACGATGTACACAAAGAGAACATGTTCACAATTAATTTAGAAGATGGGCGCGAAGCGCCCTCTAAGGCTATTGAGTACAAATTAATGTTGTGTAATGTAGGATTACTGTTGTACTGAGTACAAATTAATGTTGTGTTCTGTTGGATCACTGTTGTACTGAGTACAATAGAGCCTATACTGCTGCGTACATGAGAACTCTAGAAGACAAGAACCTCGCTGTCCGAACAGAGGAGGTAAAATATACTTTTGGGGGAAATCCTTATTTTTCTCTCCCACTCTCTAAAATTTGGCCCCCCCCCCTCAGATTAAAGCTGTTTTAATTTTTGGGTATGAAGGGCATGAAAAAAGCGCAAAGAAGATGTCAGACATTTCTCTAGAATATTTAGGAAAATTAACATGTCCTTGAATGATAACTGAAGGATTGCAGAATGATTTAGGTGTATTGATTTGTAGTTTTCATACAGGGTGTCCCACGAAACATGACAGTTGGTGAAAAGTTTTAAATGTCTACTTCCATATGCTATACATTAGATATTAAAGACGTTAAAAAATTATATTACTCAAAAAAATATGTTACTTTGAAATCAATTATACAATAATAGGACGGCTAAAAATATTTTTTTTATTCTCTTTGGTATTAATTCTACTTAACATATTATGGAAGTAGGCAATTTAAATTTACCCACTGTCTTGTTTCGTGGGACACCCTGTATGTCTATGGGTGTCAGAATACATTTTTTTGAAAGTGAAATATTCGTCTCTCTAAGTATCCTAGGGAATATTTTAATACCTTCTTTACTAGACAATTTTTTTATCAAAAAAATCCTTTGTATTTGTTTAGGAAGCCCTGAACTGTGCAGCGTTCTTTCAACAATATGTGATGGACTATGTTAACTCTAAACAATTCTCGGAAAATACATTTTATAACTTTAAATGGAAAGAAAAAACAAATAGTAGGACTGTAGGAAAAAGAGCATTTGAATGTTGTTTTAATTTGTGCGAGTTTGGTTTTATTTTCCAGAAGACACATTTTTCAAGAAATATCGTTGAGAATATTTCATTTTTCAAACACCCTTTGCTAGGCTTTTTTACTCTCTCCATATGATTAACAGGGTTACCTATAAAGGATGCACCATTGCACATTGACCCTAATTCTGTAGCATTCTGGGTTAACCCAAGGAGTAGGAATACTCCTTGGGTTGACAACATACTGGGTACACTAGACGGACTGGTAAGAGTTATAACTACACCAGGCCAGATCTTTGAACTTGATCATGTAACTTTTAAACTTATATGGCGATGCAGAGTATTTTTCCCTTATTCTACGTTATTACAGAACCTAAAATAATTGAATCTTTGCCACAAATAGAAATTGTCAAACTTTGATTATTTGATCTAACATAATTCATAGTTTGAAATATCTGGTCTGCGACATCTGAATTCCTTTAACTTTCAGAATATCATGTTTAAAGAGTTAAGGTCGCCAATCATAAAATATCTTTATTTGATAGTAAGCTTTTCTTTCACACATGCCCACCGCTCTTTTTTAAAGTTTGGTCGAAGATTTTAAAGTTTTAATTTTATGTTTTATTTCTAGACACACATTAATAATGCAGGAAATCGCCTTTTTCTGTTCTCACCATGATTTTTAATACTTTAGGGTTAATTTTTGTCAGGGTTTAGTTTTTTAGTCTTGGTTTTAATAAAAAATATATTTTGAAAATCTAGGAAAACTTGTTGAACAAAATCTACCCCGGGATAGTCGTAATGTAAGTTTTTATTTTTAATATCGTTTTCGATTGGAAAAAAGTTGACTTATTACATGAAACAATTGTGCTGTAATACGGCATACATCTGGTAAAAATGCTCGATCACAATATCGAACACGTTTACTACAGGATTACCCAAAAAGGATGAGACTTCACAGACAACATTTACGGAATTTAAGCCGTCCCTTTTCTTATAATGGTGGTTCCCTCTAGCTTTAAACTTGTATTAAACATTTAAAATACAATTTCTAGGACTGAAGATGAAGTTTAAACCTCAGAAAGTCAGAACTATAATAGAGTTATATGTCATCATTAAATTCTCATCCTTTGTTGGAAACCCATTATTAGAGTGTTTCAATGTCGTCTGCACATTCCACAGGTTTATGGATACCGTTGTATATTTTTATATTAGGGTTGTCGTGATGAGTTTCCTGATAATAGTTTCTCTACTTGTTCTTCTCAACCTCATGCTTGTTGGGCTTGGATTTAAACCACTCAGGGCCTATCTCTGCTGGGGTAAGATTAATGGTGTAAACAAATCTTGGGTACGGTCATGGGAGCCATTTCCTCCGCCCTTAGAGTTTACATGTTCCCATTTCTTAGCTGAATGGGACTGTATTTAAAGTTAAGATTACATTTTTTAAATTAAAAACTTTAAATACCATTTATTCTTGGATATTGATTAAAATATATGCTTCCTTTTTCTTGTTGCGTTGTAATGGATTACAATTTGTTAGTGATTTTCAAGGTTATAATGCAAGGAAAGTTACCAA